TACCGGCCACATCTCAATATCATAACATCATCTAAATAAACAAGAAGGAAAAGAATCATACCCGTCACCACATCGGGTGTTGCGCGTGCCTCCTCGGTGGTCAGCTGGAATGCTCGGCTCCTCACCACTGGAGCCTCTGCTTTGCCCTGTCGTCCATCTGTGATCCGCAGGGTCGCTGGGGCTGGCGCCTTTACCGGCGCTGAACCTGTCAACTGGGGGCAATTGGCCTTCTTGTGGCCCCTCTGGTTGCAGTGGAAACACAGTAACTTAGATGTTCGTATCGCCGCAACGCGAGTAGTACAATCCCTGCTAAAGTGCCCTGCCTTTCCGCACTTGTAGCAGCCTTCTGATCCCCACCAACATGCTCCCTCATGTGTCCTGCCGCATTTCCCGCAGCGGCCCGGTCCCCCTTGGCCTTTCTGGCTCCCATCTGATCCCCGGGACTTCTTTCCTGAAGTCCCAATCACCTGACCTGCCTCTGCTTTCCTCTTCCGAATGTGCTCTAAATCAATCTCCCTCTCCCTCGCCCCTGGCGATCATGGACTCCAGGGTAGGGCAAGCTGAAAAGCTAACATGCTCCCGGATGTCAGCCCGAAGCATATCATGATAACGGGTCCTCCTCATATACTCGTCACCTGCATACTGGGGCACCAACAAGGCCCTAAACTTGGCGGTGATCTCCGCCATAGTCTCAGTCGTCTGCCTAATATCCAAAAACTCCCTGGCCAGCTGCTGAAGCTCAACAGCCGGCGCAAACTCTGCCTTGAACCTGGTCACAAACTCCGACCAGGTCATAGCCTCGATAGCTGAGGCTCCCAACGAGTCACCCACTGACTCCCACCAGTCTCGAGCTCGATCCCGCAAACACCCTGCTGCACACCTCACCTTCGACCCCTCGGGGCAGAAGCTAGTCAGCTGTGCAGACTCGATGTCTGCAATCCATCGTCTGGAGGCAATGGGGTCTTTCACCCCGTGGAAATCCAGCGCACCACTGCCCCTGAAGTCCTTAAAGGACAGTGTGTGAGATCCCGACTGGCCGGATGCCATGTCGCTCCTAAACGCCCTGAGGCGATCCTCCATCAGCTCGATGATCCCTTCCTTGATCGACCCGAAGATAATGGGGTCGACTCAAGGATACCCCTGGTGATCTCAGACGCGATGAACTCGCACAGCCTCTCATCTACTGGCTCGGAACCTGATCCCGAACCCGACCCCTCTCCTGAACTGCCAACCACTGGCCTCGGGCATAGTACCACGATTCTGAAATACAAGAAATAACAATTGTTAGCGATACTAATACCCATGGAGGGATCCTACTCACTACAAGTTCCCCGGTCTTATCTTGGCCTTCCTTGGTTCGGGTACGGATCCTCTGCTTTCAGTAGTACGGGCCCATACTACTTTCCACACCTATCCGTACCTTCTTCAAGGACTGCCTTAACTCCACCAGGTCCCTTCCTCTACCGCTAATCATTGCTACTCTTTATCCTAGGCTTACCCTAGGAAAGCCTTGACTTCACCCAACCCAGTTCTCAGCTGTTGAAGGCCTCTTGGTGATGCCAATTAACTATTACCTAAATACAATCACATGTGATGAGGCTCGGATAATCCTTCGAGTAAGGGACTCATCCCTACAATGGTTAAGACTCAAACAAGAGCTACGCAATAGGGTCAAATCCAACACTCTGAGTTTATACGACCCTGATCACATGTGACTTTAGCTTATTCACCTAACAGTTAACTCTCATTACTTCAAAGCCCACATAGCACAAAGCAAACAGCATTTGGACATAAGGAAAATAATCTCAAGCAACTTTATCCTCACAGAGAGCACTAAACTAGCATACAATGCTAAACTCGTACTATTAGGAATAACTTAAACAGGCTACCCTACTGTTGTCTACTCAAACCTAGCATGCAATTCTTTCATATACTTAAGCACATAAAGCAGGCACATAAGGCATCACTCGTAGATCCTTATTCCTATTCTAGCATGTTGTTCTACAAAAGCTGATAAACATAACATAAACTTGTATGGGTATTTTGGGGAATACTTACTTGAGCTCGGCCGGTTGCGCACATCACACACATTATTCTTTCTTAAAACCCTTTACTTAACCCTTTTAGAAACATTTTCTCTTTCCAAAATCTTTTAATCCCTCGATTTGAGTTCAAACACCCCCGAAGGTGTGTCCGAATCCCTCAAACCAAGGCTCTGATACCAACTTGTAACGCCCCAAAATTACCGGTTAAAAATTTCATTTTTTTAATTTAGGTGAAAACGTAAAACATCATTACAAACATTCATGATAAAAATCCATGGCTGAAAAACCAGTGACATCATAATCAGAATTCAGAGTACATCCCAGAAAATCTATAATGCGGAAAACAAAAGGCGTATGTGTGATATGCTGCTACCGCACCGGCTCCTTTCCCCTAGCTGAAGAGGTACCTGAAATCAAAACTGCAAACCGTAAGCACGAAGCTTAGTGAGTTCCCCCATAATACCCCATACCATGCAAGCATATAACAAACAACATTCAACTATGAGATACGGGCCCTGCCCACACTTCGCTTTCTGGGAGATACGAGTCATGCCCACACTCATGAAGATACGGGCCCTGCCCACACTTCGCTATCTGGGAGATACGGGCCTAGCCCACACTCCACTCTCGGAGAGATACGGGCCTAGCCCACACTCCACTCTCGGAGAGATACGGCCTAGCCCACACTCATCCGCCAACTCATATCATACAAGTATCACACAGACAACAAGTATAGACAGCTTTATCATACTAGCATATATCGTAATCACTCAATTAAGAGATACGGGCTCGGCCCACACTCTAATACTAACGTCTCGTCTATACGGGCCGGCCTTGGTGCCTTAGACCCGTTACTACTGAAAGGAAACTCACCTCGAAATAGCTGCTGGTGTGTGTGGGAACCGACTGTCTGCTGCTGCTGCTACTCCGGAAATCCTTCGGCTGTAATTCCCACAACATACACAATCAATCACTATTTACTGTCTTTTGGGTGAAATGACCCTTTTACCCCCGACCATGCCCTAAGTCAAAGTCAGAGCCAACTTCCAGTTGACCCGACTCACCGGGTTGGCTATCCAACTCGTCGAGTCCATGTCCAAACGACTATCCCGGATTCTGTTTCTACTCGTCGAGTTAGGCGTTGACTCGACGAGTTCTCCATCCAAACTGATGTTCAAGTCCTTCATCCTACTCGCCGAGTGGTATGAACAACTCGGCGAGTTCATCTTCATCCGATGAACACCTATGCTGCGACTCCCCGAGTTGTATGAACAACTCGTCGAGTCTGATCTTGATCTAAGGAGATTACCCTGAACTCGCCGAGTCAGGGCATCGACTCGCCGAGTTCCATTACGGGTGAGTTTTGGCTTCCAACTCACTGAGTCCCTCTTGGACTCACCTCACGACTCGACATAACAAAAAGGGGGCAAACCCGAAGACTCGCGACTGGACTCACCGAGTTAGATGAGCGACTCATCGAGTCCGTTCCATGCAAGAGCTAAAAATGCGATTTTGCTCGAATCCAATCCATGTCATTTGTAGATCTGGGCTCCTAGAGCATGAATAACACGTAAAGTTTCCAACTTTACGTGTAAATATCCATCTATAGGGTTTTTAGGGTTTGAAATGCACCAAAAGAGTAGATTTAAGGTTTATGTGCAATATGGGCTCATAAAGGTAGTGGATCTGAGCTCCTGGAGCTCAACTATGCTGAGATCAAGAGACCAATCGACTTATTTCGAAACATTATGCACATACAAGCTTGGGGAATGGCTCAAGAATGTCTTAAATGAAGCAATAAGCATGGAAACAGGGGAAAAACGAGATATACCTCAATGGAACTGCTAAGAGAACACAATGGTGCTTGGATGGCTTCCCTTCTTCTGGATCTACTTCCCTTCTTCTTCAAAACCTTCAACAACACACAACAATTGCTTCAACTCTTCAAAGAACAAGCTTAAATGAGGGTTGGGAGCTCTGGGGGTGAATGGGGGCTGGCTTGGGGCAGATATGTTGCTTAAATAGGGTGCAAACCCCTGAAACTTAGGGTTTCATCCAACAGCGGTGACTCGCCGAGTCACCAACTTAAACGTGTCCCGGGTCTCGTCCCTACTCGGCGAGTCGGACCTATGACTCGCCGAGTCCAAGGCTTAAAAAGGAAAAAATACTCAATTAAGATTTACATACCAGGAACTAGGCGCTACACATTGGTTACATGAAAGATGGCTCCGTTGTCGAACAACCAGTTGGTTGTGTTTCAGGTGTTGATGGGATTCATGATGTGAGCTTGGGCATTCTAAACCTGCAGATTACGATAAGGAGGTACAGTTGTAATTGGAAAGATCCTTTTGAAAGTTGAGCAGTTGGTTAGGGAGTGTCCTTTTTGGTGACACCATTGGCACTTCCCGAGAAATAGACGTTGGTCAGTGGTTGGGGAGGCTGGATTAGATTGTTTTGAGGGTGTAGAAAGCAAGCCGGGAGTGGTGGTTGGTTATCGAGGGGGCCATGTTTTCTTAGTGGTCTGATGGTTTGAATAGAAAACAACAGCATGTTGATGGATATCAATATTTGAGACCTGTTGGGCAATAGACAATTCATGATTTATTAGTTTTTCAAGTAGTTCGGTGAAGGATATGGGTGAGTCTCTTGCATGAAGAGCATTGAGGATCGACTTGTAAGCTATTTGATCAAGCCCGTTGACAACTACATCGGTGATGTCCTCCTGATCGAGTTTCTTCCCAAGGATAGCAAGCTCATCAACCACTGTTTTGACGTTGTGCATATACTGAGTGATGGTTTGGTTGGGGGTTTTGGTGCGTTGCTTTAGTCGATGTTGGAGTTTTTTGATGTGTCCTCTTGATGGAGAGGCATATGTATTGTCTAGGGTTTGCCAGGCTTCGCGAGAAGAAGATGTCTTTGTTACCAGTGGTACAATTTCAAGACAAAGAGTTCCGACTATGGCACCGAAAAGAAGTCGGTCTTGCCCGAATCACTTCGGATAGTCTGTATGGGGGTGCTTGTTCCATCGGCGGCGATTGTTGGTGCAGATGCAAGGTGTGAGTCGTCGATAAATCGATATAGATCTAAGCCATGTAGTAGAGCTTCGATCTCAGTTTTCCATCCAAGATAATTGGTGGATGTGAGTTTTAGGGTTGTTGGGAAATTAACAATAGTGATATCTTTGAGTGTGGTATTGACGATGAGAGAAAAAGAAGTGTCGTCGTTGGCTCCCATGTGTTTTGGAGAGGGAGGAGGTGAGTTTTCTGGTGTGGTATGTGCCGAGCCAAGCTCTGATACCATAAAAGGAAACAGAATCAAAAGAGATATTGTGAAGATTGTTTCTATATTATATGATTTGATAGATTACAAGTGAATACATCTTGGGTTTATATAACAAGAATACAACTAACTATGAGAGATATACACGGGAACAATATTGAGATAGGGCGTGTTCGGCACGGAGCTTTTGGGAGTGTTTGAGAGCTTCTAGCTTCTAGCGTTTAACAAAACGCTACGTTTGAACAGAAAACCTTGTTTGGCACTACAAGCTTCTAGCGTTTAGTTTAAACAAAACGCTTCAAATTCAAATGTTACTTCATGTAACGTTTAACAAAACGCTACAAGTTACAAACTACCTCCTACCCGCTACCAGTTAATTTTGCCAAACACGTCCATAGTAATATACATGTGTTCTAAATATTAGGTGATAGATGTGACCAGGTTATATCTTTATACTTGCGCGGGGCATGAGACGTGAGATCTTAGAATTAAGCCATTTACCTTCCACAATTAAGACATTTTCATTACTCATAATCGATTTTCTTTTGAAACTAGACAGATCCCCAATTAGACAAAATACCCCCTAAATGCCCTCGAGCAAAAGTGGTCGCAAAATCTGAACACAGCCACAATTAAGAAAAATTTTCATTACTCATAATCGACCTTCTTTCCAAAATACACCTTGAAAGCCACAATTAAGATATTTTCATTACTTGTGGCTGATAAAGTTGGAAAGATGGAGCCGCTCAGTTTGTTATTAATCATTAAAATTCCTTTTAGCTAGTTTGATGATAACTCGAATACAAAATCTGAAAACTTTGCTAAGCAAAAAACTAATAACATGCTAAAAGTTGTTACTATTTTTTAACAATTAAAAACAGGTAAATATATAAAATTAATAAGCTAAATCATTAGTGTGGTCTAGATTTAGTTTCTTGGAACAAAAAAAAAGGCAATATAGAAGAAGATTTTAGAAAGCAAAACACAGCAAGGATCCACAACTAAACACGTTTTGAACACAGTCACAAAGTCTCAAAATCTGGTAGGAAAAAAAAAAGAATTCTAGACATAACAAGAACAAAATGAAAGCCCTTTTCTTTTCCCTCAAACATGAACAGATTGACCAGCAGAAAAAAATAATACATTCTTTAGTACTATTTTTATTTCCTAGATAAAAAGGAGTCCAATGTTATGTGTGTGTGTACCATGTGGTTGTTTTGCATCAGTTTCTTCCCTTTTCACAAAAACATCAGCCAAATGCTTGTTTCTATTGAAGTAATCAAATATGTATGTGCACACCTGTCAAAAACAAAATCATATTACATTACATTTAATTTATAGTTCAATTGATGGATGCAATAATAAGATTCAAGAGACTCATAGCATACTCACTTGCTTAATGCTTTTCTTTTTGGAGGAGAGATGATCATGCCATTGTCATTATCTTGATCATCAGCATAAGTGTTTTCTTCGAGTCTCTTTTGCTTTAGCCTCTCATTACAAAAAAAAAGGCCCAAAGATCCATACCACCACCATTGCGTTCCCTCCACATCTCATGGTATTCCATGTATGATCCATCCAGCTCTATTATTAAAAAACAAACATCAAATTCCATTCCAATAACTAAAAAAAAAGTATGTTATTGTTATGTTATGTATATCAAGTTTCTTGGAAAACGCTGAACACGCACCTCCTATCTTCAATGTTTGCTTCTTTGACAAACTTATCAGCAATTTTTCTAAACCCATCATTCCTCAAGGAGTCCACAAGGTAACGTGTCAACCTGAAAATACAAAAACTCACACATTATATTACTATATCTTATTCATCATATGCTTATCAACATTAATAAAGATTTAAATGACTCACAGCTCAATCTCATCTCTAGGAACCAAATCAGTGTCCATTACATCTCATAAACTGCCGGCATCCATTGTTATATCACACAAACTGCAAACAAATAATACCACAATTAATTATGAGACTTTGAATAAAATATAAATCTAAAGCTCCTATCATTACAAACAGAACAATCATCTTGGTTTACTCATGTCATCATAAATGGGATTTAACAACTGCTTCACATATGTAAAACCACATTGTTAACCTTGATTTCTGCTCTGCTAAATGCCAACACGTACCTATTAGGCTATAACTATCATTGTATTTGCCTTAAGGCTTTAAGCAATTGATTCTCTTTATCTTGACAACACAAACTTCATATTATATCAAATAAACCAAAACTTCACTATCTTGGAGTAGCATCTAGATAACAAAATCCTTCATGATGATATCAACATATCATACTCACAATTTTAGTTGTAGGATTGAAATAGGATAGCTATATAGACCATTAGAGATCAAAAGTCTCCCTGTCTTTTCATGGAGTACTCAACTCGATGTAAAAGGTTCTACACTCAAATCTAACCCCATGTAAACGATAATGCACGTTAACTCATAACGTTATCCAGTCAAATCGACTTAACTAGTATACGTCTAGGTGATGCATTGGTCTTCCCCTCGGCCTTTTCTATTTATCAAAAACATTAGAGTGCTAGGTACAGGCAACGGGAGGTTGCGTTATTCCGACGTAGAGGGCTAAAAACGCCGGTATAATGCGGGGAACACCGTGCCGGCTTCGCGTTTTTTGGTGTTATGTGGTCTCGCGTTATGGTGGTGACGGGAGAAAACGGGATCGGTGATTGGTTGATTTAAAAATCCTACCGTTTGCATGTTGGATAATCTTGACATGGATGGGCTGATTTTAATAATGGGTTTGGGTCAAAAAAAGATTAGTCTTTTATTTGTTTTATTTAGTATTTGAATAAAGGAAATTTGACCAGGTTCAAGGCAAGAAAACGGGGTATACTTGGTCTTTAAAGCATCCTAGTCTTAAGGAGTAGTTAGCTAGTTTGTAGACTGTTTTAGTTTGTTTCCAATGGATATGTACTACAGGCTATATATATATATATATATATATATATATATATATATATATATATATATATATATATATATATATATATATATATTTGTTTTCTGAATATGAGAAGTAAGTATGCAGCAGCTTTGAGTCCAAAGTACTTTCGTATATCTATATTTGCTTTCTGCATACATATATATCTGTGTTGTGTGAGTGAGAAGGTTGGGACATGTTCCAACATTTGGTATCAGAGCCCTAGGCTCAACATGTGGGATCTTTGAAGAGGTTCTATGTGGACCTAAGGTTCTATGTGAACCTGTTGTTGTTGCAGTTCTGTGTGAGTCGAGTTCCAAAGAAAAAAAATATGTGTGATTGCTTTTTTCTTTTTGATCTGTGTGAAGAGAAAGTTGTGTGCTGAATTCAAGGTCTGGGTGAAGAAGATAGAACCTGTGTGGTGAAGCTATCTATGTGAAGAAGCTAGTCAAAGTGAGGAAGAAGATCAGAAAACAAAGTTTTGGTGCACCTGCAAGTGTGTCTTGGTGGTTTGAAGAAAGGAAGAAGATCCTAAATAATTCAGATCTGTGTGATCCGTGTGTGTGTGTGATCTGTGTGGTTGGTTGTGTACAAGAAGAAAGGTCAAGTCAAGGAAGATGCTAGCAACAAACCCAGGAGGATCAAGTCAGGTTGTACCCGTGACCACTTAAAGTATCCTGCTGCAATGCCCCAAGTTAACAACTACAAATTATACAAGTTGGTCGATTATGGTGGAGTCGATCTTACAAGCATACGGCTTATGGGAAGCAGTTAATCCGGAAACCGGAAAAGCGATTGAGGCAAAGAAAAATTTGATGGCAAGAGCATTTGTGTTTCAAACTCTACCTGAAGATATATTGCTTCAAGTGGCTAAGCATAAGGATGCAAAAGATGTGTGGGAAGCGCTTCGTGTGTGGTATTTGGGAGCCGAAAGAGTTCAAAAGGCGAGACTGCAAACACTTATAACCGAGTTAGAGATGTTGAAGATGAAAGAGGGTGACACGATTGATGAGTTTTCGGGGAAACTTAGTGAAATTGCATCCAAATTCAAGAGTCTTGGGTCTAGCTTGGAGGATGAGATAGTGGTAAGAAAACTACTAAATTCAGTTCCTAAGAAGTTTTTGCAGATTGTTGCATCGATTGAGCAATACTCCGAGATAGAGAACATGTCACTTGAGGAAGTTGTGGGAAGGTTGAAGGCATATGAAGAGAGAATCAAGGTTCTTGATGAAGATGATAATGATCAAAATCAAAACAAACTTTTATTGTCAAAAGAGGAATGGGAAGAAAGAACCAAGCGTGGTAACTTCAAACAAGATCAATCTGGACAAGGAAGAGGTCAGGGTCAAGGAAGAGGTCGTGGTAGAGGTCGAGATGGTCGGTTCCAAAGCTATGAAGATCGAAGGGAGCAAGGTATGTATCGAGACAAGAGACATACTAAATGCTATAAT